ACTGCTGCTTGTCCTGCTGCTGTTCCTGCTGTTACTGCTGTTCCCCCCCCCCGCTGAGGGGGTCAGACTGACTGACTGAACTCTGTCTTCAGTGACTTCACTCTGGATCAAAGCTCTCAGACAGAAGAGAAAGAACGACAAGTGGACCAGTGAGTGGACCAGTGTCTGGACCAGTGAGTGGACCAGTGAGTGGACCAGTGTCTGGACCAGTGAGTGTCTGTAATTCATCACCACCGTCTGAGTGTTGACTCAGTGTGGAGTGTGTGTGAAACTCTCCATGGCAACAGTGTGTGTCAGATAATATTAAAGCTCTTATTTTATATCAACTGAACGACGGAGGAAGATGAAGAGAGGCAGAACAGCTTAATGCTCTTCCACTAGGTGGCGGTAGACAGCTATAAAAATGAAAAAGGTTGTTGAAGATCATTATCATTGTGTTTGACTTTCTTCAATTCCTGCAGCGTGTTGTGTTCAACTAAACAGGATCAGGTTTCACACACGGAGAAAAGGAAGAAAAGTTATACTTCAGTAAATCAAGACATCTGGTCCATCACAGGGCCACATATTAAACAACAACCATTCACACTGACGATGACTGGGACACACACACACACACACACACACACACACACAACAGGAGAACTACATGTACAAAGACCATTGGGAGTCAAACCATTGACCTTCCTGCTGTGAGGCATTACATCTAACCGACCTGCCAGGGTACCTGGCCTGACTACACTGATAATGACACAGGTCATTAGCACCGATCCCTAAGCAACTGACAACGATCCCTTTCTTTTCCATCGACTGCTGCCACGACGCCCTTGAGCCAAACAATGACAAAGCAAAATGTCTCAATGGTAAAGAGCGAGAGAGGGAAATATGTAACCTTGAAGCTGGAGTTTTCTGCTTCAACGTGTGGAAAAACACCGCTAAAAATAGGACTGAGAATTCCCTGGAGTGATGACGATCTCCTGGAAGGTGAAGGAGAGAAGGTCCAGACGTTCTCCTCAGCTGCTCCACTCCAGACCTTCAAACATCATGAGCTACAAACGCTCCTTTCATCTCCTCCGTTCTGTCAGTCGTCAACAACAACAGCCACAGGTCTGAGACTCAAATTCACGTCACAACTTTGGTTCTGTAGAGCCACAGGTCTGAGACTCACATTCACGTCACAACTTTGGTTCTGTAGAAAATCTAGAAAAACCATTCATTCAGACGTCAACATGAGCCCCAGATCTACGACCTCTGACCCCAGCTCTGAAACGTCAACATGATCTACGACCTCTGACCCCAGCTCTGACCTCAGGGTGAATCCTCTTTTCCACATGAACACAGGTCTGAAGGTAAACAACGACAGGGTAACTACAGGGTGTGAAGCAGGTGACGGGGGTGGGGGGGTCGGGGGGGTGACTCCACCTCTACAGCTCTGTCCACCAACCTGGCAGTGAGATGGGCGACAGCTCGTTATAGCCCCCAAAGGAAGCATTGCGGATGAGTTTGCGTCCGTCGGGATGCGGAGGTCGAATCGATGCCGTTCCACCGCACGTGGAGAAGCGTCGACACCCCCGCAGGCCCTCCTCCTTCATCATGGGGTCAGCGTTAAACTACCTGGGTAGGTAGTAGGGCAGAAGGGGTGGAAGGAAGGAGCTTCAGTAAGAACAGTCAAGGAACGAAGGTGGAGGCAGGAAAGACAAGTGGATCTGTCCCACGAAGACGGCAGCAGCAGCCACAGAGCCCCCCCCCCCACAGAGGGACAGAGGAGCGGAGACACAGTAACTCAGGCTCCGTCTCAGTGTCTCCGTCAGACGACAGCGCTCTTCCTCTCTCAGCCTTAGTCTGGTTCCCTCTGCTCTGAGTGTGTGTATCAAACCAGCAGCAGCTGAGCTAAGCCCCGCCCACTGCCTGGACCCCAGATGAGCAGCAGAGCTCCGTCTCTGATCTTTTTTTTTTTTTTTTTAAAGCTCTCACCGTATTTCAGTGGATTAACACAAATTAAACAGAGAGGACTCTCCAGCCAATCACAGCTGTCCAAGAGAGACCACGAGGAATGACCTAAAAACAGGCTGTAATTTAGAACTCGTTCTAAAGTTGAGAGCCTCACAATATGAAAACCCATCACCGACTGACATGGTCTGTGAACCTCATCAACTGACATGGTCTGTGAACCTCATCAACTGACACTGTTCTCTTCAACAACAGAAGAGGAAAAAGTCTTTTTTTTTCCAGAAACATCTACAGTTAAATCCAGGTTCTAAAACCAACCTGAGGTCCAGTGACAGGATGATGACGGTGGTGATGATGATGACGGTGGTGGTGATGATGATGATGACAGTGGTGATGATGATGATGAAGATGGTGATGATGATGTATAACTCATGTCCCTGAGCTCATTAACCTGCTGTCAGGAGGAGACGACATCCATTCAGAGCCACTGACTAAGTTTAGAACAGAAGCTGAGAACTGACTCTGACGCCTCGTCACGACGATAAAAAAAACCTGTTTTATCCTGACGTGACCGACTCAACAGGGAGGTTCATGGGTGAACCTGCAGTTCACCTCATCTGCCCCTAGGGCTGTAACGATGCATCGGGAAACAAATCCGTGACAATTCTCATCGGTTAAAAAAAAAAGACTCGTGCAACAAGGCGTAAAGAGAAGCTGCGTTATCTCCAAGAGTCAGTGGTCAAACCATGACACTACACACTCCAGAACAGTAGGTGGCAGAAATGAACACATCTGTCACCTTTACAAATACATAATAACAATCTAAAGTATTTACTGCAGGTCTGTACACATTGACAGGTACTGTCAAAAACTCGTACTCCTGCTCAATGTTAGCACACTAGCCCGAGGCTAGGCTAATAAGTCCTGTTTTTCTAGCTAACAGCTCATCACCGCGTTGATTTATTCCTCCTCCACCAGTGACGTGTTTGTTTGTAGACACACAACGGTTCCTGAAAAGTCACTCCGTTTAAATAGTGTCATCAAAAAGTACTCCGAGGGCAACAGCCAATCATCATCAAGACGACAGTCATCAAAGCTGTAGTGTAATCTTTGTCAACGCAGGACTGCGTCAAAGGCAGACAAACAGAGTCTTAAGACCGTTAGCTCGGGATTAGCCTCGGAACAATCAGACTATCTAACACAACATCGCCCCCTTGGCTTCGTTCAGAGCACATCAAAATAAAACCAGTAAAAAAATCGGATGTTTTTTGTCGTACCTTCTCAGCTGACCCCTGGTCACTAAGGTCAAGTGTTGCCAACATCCAAATGTTCATCTGTTCTACCTGCACACACAGCGCGTCAGTCCGACCAGCCGTGGGTGAGACGACCCCCATCCGTCTCCCCCCTGATCTCTGCGGTGTCTCTCAGACGTCAAACCTTGAACCCCTCACTGGGCCACGCCGTGGGTGAGGACCACAGACAGGACATGTCAGTTACCTCTGGTCCAGATAAGACCAGTGGCCAGTTCATCTGACACAGAATAATCCCTGAGGACTGAGAGGCTTAAACGCCCGCTGACCCCACCTGCTCTCACTTCCACCTGGGATCCACACACACACACACACACACACACACTGTTAGTGTTTTCATGTTTTGTTTTTTTTTCATGCTCTGCTGTGAACCCCCCCGACCCCCCCGACCCCCCGCTCACAGAATGGTGTTGAAACAGATCTGTAGTATCAGTGGTTTATTCTCTATGTTATAACACATACATTTTGTTTTGTTTTTTTGTTGTTGTTGTTGTTAATCTGTGAAAATAAGATTGACATTAAAAAGAAACTGGAAATTCTACAGATTATATATTTTTTTTATTATTAAATTAATAATTTCTCCTGTCTTTATAACATTAACTTTGTTTGTTCCAGATTCAATGTTTACACTAAAACTACAGTTTGTTTCCAGATGAAACAGAAAACATCAACCATTACAGTCAGTTCAAGACAAGACTTTGTCTCAGGTTTTAATTTTAGTGTGGACTTGACTTTGACCCCCCGAACAGAGCAGAAAATACATGAAAGATAAACCTAACAACAACAACTGAGTCACTTATTCATCCCACAAGAACAGACTAAACCAGCAGCAGTGGGATTTGAACCTAACCCCAGCACCTCGGACCACTGAGCCACAGCACTGTAGAGCAGGAACGATCTTTCTGTTGGTGAAGTTCAGACCTCTGGATTTCTAACTCACGTTTCTGGGAGATGTTCCTGAACACATCAGAGAGAAACCACAACCACACTGAGGAAGTGTGAACTGGAGGTTGTCATGGATACAGAGCCACGAAGACAAGAGTGAGAGAAAAGAGCTGAGACACAGAGGCAGTCGAACAGGGAGACCAGGAACGAATGAATGAATGAATGGATTAATAACACAAAGACTGGTCCAACGTATGTCCATATAGACTGACATGTATAGACTGACATGTATAGACTGACATGTATAGACTGACATGTATATATTGACATGTATATATTGACACGTAGACTGACATGTATAGACTGACATATATAGACTGACATGTATAGACTGACATGTATATATTGACACATATACTGACATGTATAGTGACATGTATACTGACACGTATACAGACATGTATACTGACACGTATACAGACATGTATACTGACACGTATACAGACATGTATACTGACACGTATATTGACACGTATACTGACACGTATATTGACACGTATACTGACACGTATATTGACACGTATACTGACACGTATATTGACACGTATACTGACATATAGACTGACACATAGACTGACATATAGACTGACATAAAGACTGACATGTAGACTGACACGTAGACTGACATGTATAGACTGACATGTATAGACTGACATGTATATATTGACACGCATCCTGACGTGTATACTGACATGTATACTTACATGTATACTGACATGTATACTGACACGTATACAGACATGTATACTGACACGTATACAGACATGTATACTGACACGTATATTGACACGTATACTGACATGTATACTTACATGTATACTGACACGTATATTGACACGTATACTGACGTGTATACTGACATGTATACTTACATGTATACTGACATGTATACTTACATGTATACTGACATGTATACTGACATATAGACTGATAGACTGACACATAGACTGACATATAGATGAGCTCTCAGTTACCATCAACCGTTATAAAACATATAGACACACATGCAGTTACACAGTGAACTGTAACGTGTTGTACTGTGTGCAGCAGTAACATTGACCAGGGTATTATCTGACGTGGTTGCTCCACCTAGTGGTGAAACAGATTCATGGTCATTCATGAATCTATGTTGTTGTTCCACCTGTTAGTCCCAGTATATTTCCTACAGCAACTTCAGAAATATTCTCTGAAGATGTGGATGTGACACAGAGTCTTCACCTGAGACCTTCAGGTGACCTTCAGGTGACCTTCAGGTGACCTTCAGGTGACCTTCATCAGACTAAAGGTCTCAGGGTGAAACCAGTCCACTCCAGTCCAGACCCAGACACCAACAAAAGTACATGTTTAAAGTTTTTATTCCTGAATCAAATCTAGAACAGTTCACCTCTGTGACGTTACACTGAAACCTTCACAACTGAATCAATCCAACCACAAGGGGGCACTGCAACATAACAGTTAAAAAGTGTATGAAGGTTTTTGGTCTTTGGTTTCTTCTAATTTGACTTCCTGTGTTGATTTGATACTTGACTGAATGAGGACCAACATTACAAAGACCCCTGACCCAAACAAACAAAGGTCAACCTTCTGGACACAGCTGTGACCTCGGCCGGGGTGAAGGTTAAAGACGTTGACCTGTGTTTCTAACGTCCAGTGGAACTGTTTAGACGGTGAGTGTACAGAGAAGAAGAAAGAGTTGTGAAGTAGAACGTGAGTCACTGCCTCTCCTCTGGGAGTGTCTGACACCGAGAGGTTCAGAGTCTGAGTCTGAACCAACACAACACAGACAGAGGCACAGACCATCACAGACCAACACAGACCATCACAATCCTACCGTGGCTGTAGCTCACTCCTGGGCTCAGTGTGGAGGGGGAGGCAGCGTGCTCCCTGCTGGGGGTCTGAAGCCCCGGCTCCTTCTCCCTCTCTTTGTCCCGCTCCTTGGCCTGGCGTTGGCTCATTCTGACAGGGGTCAGGAGGATGGTGTCATCACTGCTCGCTACAGCCGCTAGAGACGGGGGGGGGGGGGGACAAAGACAGGGGAGTTGGTGACTTGTCACAGACAGTTTACCAATTAATTCACAATAAGAAATAAATAGTTGTAATAAATCAATCTCCTTAAAGATCATCGTTAACCAGTGGAGTTAATAAAAATTTAAAATAAATAATTAAAATTCAACTATATTTTTCCCATATTTGGGAAGTTGTTGTGTTAGCAGCAGATATGCTAACAGGCTAATAGGCTACCCCTAACAAGCACCAAGCCTGTGGTTCCTCTGGGAATCGAACCCAAAACTCTCTACGTCCAGGGTAGGCATGCTAACCGCTACACTACAGAACCGCCCACGCAGGAACCTGATGAAGACTGAGTTATTTAATCATTGTTGTGGAGGAATTCAGAAATTGTACTTAAGACAGAGAGAAATATGAAGTAATTGTTATAATTAGTTTCAAGTAAGTAATTACAAGTGATTACACTCTCTCTCTGTCTCTCTCTCTGTCTCTGTGTCTCTCTCTCTCTCTCTCTCTCTCTCTCTCTGTGTCTCTC